AGTCAGACACACAGAGGAGACAACCCTTCCAAACAGGCACATTTATGTTTGTGCAAATTTGTATAACAAATAAAAAATTCACTGCCATACTGTGCGTTCTCAGTGTGCATACTGTGTAGACGCCCTTTGCACCCTGTCCTGTTAATACTTCCAATGCACAAATAGGCTAGTACAATTGCACCGCGAACAGCATATAAAAACCTATCTAGGAATAAGGAATAAAGAGTTTTCATTATTGGTATTTTGTCCTGAGGGGCTTTTTTCCCTATTTTCTCGCCAAATGGAATGATCCCCCCTCCCCCCCACCCCACCACCATCATCCAGAGTACCGTGTAGAAGGCGGGTCAGAGCGTCAGTGTGGGAGAAATCCAGGGGCCCATCATCAGTTGCGCTGAGTGAGCCGAGCTGAGAGATGCGCGTTCACTGAGCCGGGGGAAGGAGGACCGCTGCCTTTCCCTCCACCGCTCCACACTTATAATAACCTCCTCGTCACCAGAATCAGCATCTCACCGCCCCGGGCAGAATATAATTAAAAAATACTACGGTTTCTGGATGGAATTTTGCTTTGGATTATTATAATTTGCTATAGCCTACTTATAAATAGGCTTTATCCGTCCGGAACCGTCTGCAAGTAAAGGTAGGAGCAGATTAAAACTGGGCTATTCGTGGTTTTAATTGTTTTTTCATCCCGTCCCTCATGCATGAGGTGTGCTGTGAAGGTATTAATGTTGTAGGATCCTGAAGTTTTTCTGCGTCAATTTTCTTCTGGTGTGCATCTGATGTGGATTTGGTGAGTTTGGGCTGAAATGGGGTTTTAAGCGCAATGGGATGGTTTGGATGATTAGTTTAAAAGCACTCGCCCGCAGTTTAACCACAGAGGAGAGGGTGATTTGTGGGTAAAACCGCACCTCGAGAGACCACGTTGACTTGTTAAAACTGAATTTGTGACAAATATATCTGTGGTGAATGAGTGATGCGCGTCGAGACGGAAAGTTTCAGCACCACTGACTCGCGTCTCTCAGTCGTTGGGGAAACAGCTCGGTAACAGAAACTGCCAGAACTGCTCACGATTTACAAATGCTTTCTTGAAAATATAATCCCGACTACTGTTCACAATTTCGCTTGGTAATTTTCTTTTAAAGCAAGGGCAGTAAACCCTTGAGCAACAGTCAGACTGCCACCGTGCGAGAGGCAGAGGGAGAGCTGGAGTTGGGAGCGCTGCTGGAAAAATGGTGTCCGCTGTTTAATTCAGTGGTGCAGGCTCGGATTTCTAATCAGTTTGAAGCGTTTTACTTTCAGCAGAAGATATCAAATATTCCATTAACAGATCAAAATGACTGATCTACATAAACGCTGGTTATTGGGCTCATTTTGTGGAAGCATGTCTGTGTGGGATTGACAAATCCAACGGGGTTTGCAATAGAGACAGTAACATCACTATAATTTAATATTCCTGCAGGAACTTATGTCTCTGTGCTTTCAGTCATCTCATGACCAGCTTTTGGGTATTTTTCTGTATGGATTGTTGGCCATTATAATAATATTAAACATAGACTATATAGAATCATTATGCCGTTATACTGTGAGCAATTTTCTCATCTGAAGCATGCGGTTAAATACGAGGCTATCTTTTAATAACATCTGTACTTTTGCGCAGATGTTCACTGGGTGACAGACACCTGGAACAGTCTTAACATGTCCATTCATTATATGACAGTAAAGGCCGGACTGTGCAGTTAAAACTACATTTAAAGCATAGAGCATTCATGTCTTTGATGCCCCCTCAAACAAGTTTGATCTATTTGAGGAACCATCTGAGTTGGATTTGTGTGGTTATGTGATGTAGAGATAAAGTTACACGTGATTAATACACATGTCCAAGATTTTCACATTTTGTATTGAGTGGAAATGCTGAAATGATCAAGTATTGTCGCTGGTGACCGCTTGGTGCCCCCTAAAGCCCCCCTGCTGGTACATGGACCCCATTTTGTGTAACTAGTGGACTGGCAGGTCCGCACACACGCACTCCCAGTGTAGGATACCCTTGTCTGCTGTGACTGATGTCGGATTAAATCGTTCCTCCAGGCTGAAGCGTGTGATAGACAGGGAGCACAGGTCTCCAGTGCGTGATGGGGGGCTAGGCTATATTACAAAACATGTCAATAAATCTGCTGCACCGAAGCTGGACGCATCAATGCATCATTTATGTCCAGTCAGTGACGGTATCCCGTGCAGGTCATCTCATATCCTGCTCTCTTTAATAATTCACCGTGTATATATCCCGGAAAATATGTGTTTATTCTAGCATACTTAAAACTCTATCAAGAACACCAGTTAGCTAACATTACTGCTAAGGGTCGACGACGTCAAGGTAGTTATACCTCCACATTTTGACGTGTGGCTCGCTGTCTTTATAAATTTCTATCCATTGAAGTTAAACACAAATACTTTTACTTTGTCAAAAATAGTTCATTAATTTGTGTTTTGTGCCCTCTAGAGTGAGGACTGCTAAGTATGCTATCACCAGGGGTGGGGTTAGCTGAAGGGCATATTTCATAACAAGCCTGTGAGGGAAAGTGTCAGTAAAATATATCGTGTGAAATCTGACTTGTCACCACATTAGCCTCATTTAGCTAAGCCTACGGGCTAGCTAGCAGGTGGACCGGTTTTACATTAAATTCGATACTGGAGTTCGTCAAATGTTAAAAAAACCGAATATGAACTGGTGCTATTGCCTTACTTAAAACCTTGTGTTTAGTGTTAAATGTGAGAGACGTTGTAAAAAGGCATGTCTTACACTGGGGGAAAGAAATCTCTATTAGTGCTTTAGTTAACTGACAGAGAACATGTTAGCATTGTTAGCATTCACTTGTCACATCTATGGCTCAGAGACACCTGATGCCTCAGTTAGGCAATACACACAATAAGTCATGTTAACTGAATAGAGGCCAAGGCCAATTTTCATAGGAGACTGGCATCTCAGGTTTCATGGGCATATCATGCCTTACTTATTGAAGGGACGCACACTGCACATCTCTGTGTTGGTAGGTTGGATTGGCACCGCTGTGTTCAGGGTTTCTGTCACCACACAGAACCTTTAAACCTCTCTGCTGTCTCACAGAGTCACTTTTAAGACAAAGACAATGATTGAACCAGGCAACGCATTGTTGCCAGTAAGATACACACATGCTCACTCGAGCACAGGGACACACATGTGTGCACACACAGTGCATTAGCATAGGTATCAGTTACTAGAATTCAATAGCTCGCCTGCTGCAGCAAGATTAACTATTCAGGGCAGGTGGTTAAAGGGCCTATTGTGTTGCATGGCTCTGTGCTACTGTCATGATTGGACAATGCGTTTGTCTGGTGGGTAGCCCACTGCCAAAACAATTGCAAGGGCAAAGGGCTGGAAGAGTACACACACATATAAGGTTTCGCCATGTGAATCATTTCGAGCTCTGCAGAGCAAATTTACACAGGACTGAGTAAATACAGGTGTAACGATCGAGGGCTAGTGAGCTGGTTAATATTCCATACCAGTGTCAACTGGGTTTGAATGCTGGCAATTATTTGAATATATTCACTGAAATAAAAATTTAAAAATGGTAATGGCGGTGGGATTCAAACATGAAGTGGTAGCACCATCACATCTTTCTGAATAGCTGTTTATGATTGTAATCCTCCAAAGACATGCAAATGAGAGAAAGAGTGGCGGTGGATAATTAGTCATATTTATCAGGATCCCAGCAGACCCTTACAGATATCAGGCTAACGTTTGAGGCTAAACACATGTTCTGGCTCACCTCAATGGATTTTCACTCATCACAGAATCAGCAACAGCAGTCTACTATGTTTTTGTTTTTTTTCTTGCAAAATTTCTGTGTTGTGCTACCGCTGTTTGGGAATTTAACTCTCAAATTAAGGCTTTAAAACTCTGAGTGATTATTTGCGTTGATCTTCAAATAAAATGGGTAATTGGTAGAAATGGAACCCGGCATAAAATGCTCATAAACCTTTAATGGAGGTTATTAGTGGTTATTTAGTGGTATTTAATGGCCACATGGAGAGTCAAATCTGCATTGAATGATGCTCTCAATATCCCCTTTCAATTTGAAACAAACTCACAGGAATGATTTTGTTTATCTGCAAGGCACTTCTGTATATTTTATTTAACTTCTTGTCACAAAAGCCGCAGTGCTTCTCTATTCTGCTCATTTGAATACATTTTTAATTAGACTTAATTACAATAATGTATGCTATTATGAAGTAACAACAATTATAAAATGCTGCCTAAAAATTATAGTCGAATTAACCCCTCTCAACCAGTATCAATCAAAATGTGACATTTTAACCTTCACAAATGATCTGTTTTTTTGCAGAGCTACTGTATTGGATAGTATTTGATTACATATATGTCATTGTATACATTTTTGTGTATCTCAAGTTTGTGTATTCACTACCAGTGAACCACCACATCACATTCATCATAGCATTTTGCCATCAACATAAATTTTTGCTCAAAGGGATCTGTTTTTTTTCTTCTTCTTTTTCTTCTGCAGTTCTGTCAAAGGTGTAGGTGTGTCTGTAGCGGGAGCTCAAACCATGGGGCACGAAACTGGACCGGCGATGAAGGTTATGTGCTTCAACCCAGGAAGTCGCCTCAAAGAAAAATCGCAAGATGCAGCCCTGAATCACTGACCCAATACCTTCATCTTAGCACTTTCATCAGTGCACTTTGTGTGGAAATTTGATTTTTTCCATGTATCTCTGCAAAGACTTGGCTGAGAAGATTAGATTCTGTCCATTATCAACATTAGATCTGCCTCAAAAATAAAAAAACGGATATTGTATTCTCCGCTTGACAGCAAAATTATCTATGTGGAATATAACATTCAGCAGATAAATCCTGGAACACAGCCATAATCAGATGTTATTATCACTCTGAGGATCTATCCCTAGTTTTCACCCTCTTCTGGTACACCGTGTTATTCTCTACGATGAATCCCAACAGCCTACCTGGGCATGTCCTCTTGCTGCTAAGTACTGTGCTGGGCCTGAGCGTAGGCTTAGAGTTTACTGGCTCTGAAGGTCAGTGGGCTCGCTACCTGCGCTGGGACGCCAGCTCCAGAAGTGACCTGACATTTCAATTCAAGACTTCAGAATCGGAAGGCCTGCTGCTCTACTTTGACGACGGCGGATACTGCGACTTCCTGCTTCTCAAGGTATCTGAGGGTAAGCTGCAGCTTTGCGTCAGCATCGACTGCGCCGAGACCACCATCACCTCTGATAAAATGATCAACGACAGCCGCTGGCACTTTGCCGCCATCAACAGGCACAATTTGCGGACTGGCTTGGCCGTGGATGGCCAGACCAAGACGGAGGAGGTGCGCCCCCAGCGTCAGTTCATGAAGATCGTCAGTGACCTCTTCCTTGGAGGGCTGCCGGGGGACATCCGCACATCTGCAATCACCCTGCCCTCAGTCCGTGAGCTGCCACCATTCAAGGGAATTATTACAGACCTCAGTTATGGAAGTAAGCTGCCCACGCTCATCAATAGTCAGAAAGTGCGCTTGGAGATGATGGGCCTTTGCACAGAGAACCCCTGTGAGAATGGCGGGATCTGCTCGCTGGCAGATGGAGAAACCTACTGTGACTGCTCCAAAACTGGATATGTAGGTCGATACTGCACTGAAGGTAAGAGGGCTGGCTCCAGAGCTTTCTGTGTCAAGCACTGAATATTGATTAAAATCTCTGTATAAAATTCAGAGTGATTGCTTATAAATTTAGAACTGACCTAACACCAAGTTTACTGTCTTCCTCCAGGTATACAGTATAAAAATACTACATTAACCCCTCCCTCATACTTGCTTTTTGCATCATAAAGTTATCTTATCGTGTGTGGCTTAAAACTCATTGTATTTTTGCTAAACCATAAATTTCAATACAGACTGCTGAAATTAGATTTAATTTCCATAACTGCGTTGCTATTCCCGCTACACCTAATGTGATTTGTGTCACCCCAAACTTCATTTATAAAACGCCTTGAAAAATGTGCATTGATTGCAATGTAGCATTTTGCACAACAGTGTAATTTATATGAAGCGCGGGCACGTATACTCCCGTGTGTTTGAAAGATTTAGTGCAGTTCATTCATTGTAGGTTGTTGCTCTTGCAGCTTCTCTTAGAAAGTCTTCATATTTCATGTGGGAGTTAAATTGGAGGTGATGTGCTCAGCATTTCCTCTCCCGTCACAGTTATTACTTTTGATGAGGAAGCGGTGGATATGGTATTAGCTGATATGACTAAAATTACAACACTCAATTCTCTCTTCTCCGTTAAATGTATTCAGCTCTTGCAAGGTGGTGCAGGGACCTGAAGGTACACTCAATGTTTGGATGAGAAACAACTTCATCTATTTTTCCTCTGCTTCTGTGCCAAGGCCATCTCTTTTTTGGTGGAGTGTAATGAGATGCAGCACTTCGACAATATTCTACTCTATTCCATCTCCACGCCTTTAAAGATATAGGCATACAAAGCTTTTTTTTTCTCCAGCTAATACAGTGCTTATGTATACTCTCAAACGGCCCAGTGTCAGTGATATAATACAGGACCCACTTTTAAAAGTGGACCTTTCCTCCCACTCCAGGAAATGCAAAAAAAAAAAAAAAATCATTTTCCCTTGTACTGTACTATGAACTTCTTTCAATTTTCTAATTCTGCTGGTTTAGGACTGGTTAATGTTAAAACCTACATCTTCCAAAACACACCACTGCTCTCAGCCTTGAGATCAATGCCTGCTGATGCAGATAATTTAATTTCTTCTTTTTTGGTACTCCCACATCATAAAAAAATTAAATTTTTCATATGTAGATCAGTAATCTCACACGCTTAACTCTTTTCTTCATGTGTATGGATTGTAAAGGATAACTTTGTGTGAACTGACCCATGTCAAATTTCCTCCACTGCTGACCCACTTCCTGCCTGCCTAAATCAGACTGACATGGCTGAGGGATGACTCCATTTTGCCAAAAATCAGGGGAACGCTCACTGAACGCGACAGCACTGATTGCAAGTTATTTTAAACTGTGTCTAATACAGTTAAGATGTCATTATTTGCCAGCATTACAGCAGGCATTTAAAATATGCATTTCCAGATTTCCGTGCAGGGGTTTGCTGCATTAGGTTTCATAATGTGTCCGATCATTTCCCGCTCAAACGAAGCTGTTTGGAGCTTAAATCCCAAGCGCTAGCCTGTGGCATTGTTCAGGACAGCACGCGATGTGCTGGTTGCAGAGCAGTCAAGCGGATGGACTGGACTTGCCCCCTTTTCGCTTCATCCCATTTGCTCATTGGCTGTGTCGAACAGTCGATGGAGGAGGATAAGGAGGAGGAGGAGGTGGTGGTCCATTTGTCTGAGAGCTTCCTGAGAGCTGACAGGGGAACTATGACATCCTTTGTCTTAAAACAACCAAGGTTTTAAGAGCGCACTTGCGACTCAGCCAGACAGCTTGGACAGGGAAAGATGGTCATATCTCAGCCGCAGGGCAGAGCAAGTATGACGAGTGAATTCACCACTGGCCTGTTGTACCCCAATTTGTCCCAGGAGGTCAGCTGTTGGACACGAACCACCCCCTGCTTACTTCCTCTCTGTCTGTCTGTCTTTCTCCCACACACACATACACACACACACACCTATTCTCCATTTTCTTCTGCTCTGAGGCAACACAAGAGCGAAGCAGGGAGGGTAGTCATGTTAGCTTCCCAGCTGATCTGACTGCTGCTCTCGTCTGCCTTCCCATTAACTGATGTGGTCGATTGTTGATTATGCCACAGAGACTGGGAACCATAATTAGGAGGATAATGAGAACAGAGATGGCTAATTTGCCCGGAAAATGCTTGCACAAACACCACCGTCAAATTCAAACTGTCTGTTGGCAAACTAGCACAGTATTTTTTTTTATTGCTAAGCCCACATGTCCACAAGTGGCAAAATACTTCAAGCAGCCCTGGAGCACAGAACGTTTGTGGGGGATACTCAAGAGTGATCAAACTTTCATCAGTTGGTTGCAGTTAGATGTGAACAACTGCTTAGCACACCTGTCTTTGTCGGCATACTGTTGATTATGCCGCACATTAATGAGCGATGAAAGCAATCTGTCAAACCCGTGAATATTTATATGTTACATTATCAGGCTGCATGGCCGGGGCCTTGCATGCATGCACTCAGATACATTTGCATTCACAGTCGTGCACACAAACACACATACACACACACACACATACACGCGGGAGAAATGAGGCCCTGGAGCTGCTCGTTAAACTGGCAGATGGCTGACTGACTGAGTTGACTGGGCCTTGGAAGCATTTTGCCAGCCGTATTCCTAATGGTAGCCTGCTAGCCCACTGGCCTAGAAGGGAAACGCGAGAAGTGGGCAGAATTAACATGTGAGATGAGAAATGAGAAAACGGCATGGGAAGAGTTGGATAGAGCCTGTCTGTGCCACTTGTGCACTGAAAAAACCACCCATTCCCACACTGTTTCTCCATTTTTGGGTGTGTGTTTCTTGCATTGAGGGATAGCTTGGTTAGCACTCTGCTGAAGCATTATTATTACATGATAATCATGAGACAGTCTCTGTCTGTCTGAGCCTGTGCAGCTCTTCCCAAATAGTCCAGCTCGGCTTGCAGCTTAGCACCACAAACAGTTGGCCATAAAACACATGTTCAGTCTCTCCTCCCATGTGGATCAGGATGTATCAGTGTGACTAACTGTGTCAGGGCAATGAGCTGAAATTAGACACCACTCACCACTCGCTCTGCACATGTGTTGACTTTGGCAGGCGAATCCACTGCTGCAGCCTCGGACTATTGTCTTGTGCTGTGTTGATAACTCTAAAAACTGCTTCTTTCTGCGGAGTCATCTTTAATATTAACTTGATTCCATTCCCGTTATTAACTGTGCAAATATCAGTATCTTTTATGGTAATGATCTGGATATTGTCCCTCCTTCTGTTCAATTAAATTAATGGGGGTGACATTATGAAGTCTGTTGAATACCTCAGGGTTTTTTCAGTTACAATGAGATGTGCATAAGGTCAAGGTTATTAAGAGCTACACTGGATTGTTTAATGAATATGTAAAATGATCGTTCATTTCCTCTGTTGGAATCCTACATCCTGCATTTGTAATGAACACTTTAAGGCCCTTTTTGCTTAAAAAATATTCACAGGCTTGATGGAAGGCTAGTAATTGAATGCTAGGGCAAGCAAACTGTTAAGCAAGTGCTGAAATGGTGCCTTCAGGCTTAGCTTTGGGGATTAATAAACAGACATGGAAAAAATGACAGTTACAATAATCTTACTATAAAAAGTAGGTCAGGGGGAAAAAAAGGAAAAAAATGGTGCAGGGACTTGCCTGATTCCAGTGCAGAGGGCATTTGTGTCTAGTGCCCAAGCTGAAAATTATGTTTGGATTTGAGTGGTGAAGCTGCTGGTAAAATAGAGCAGGGGATTATACTCGGACCACATGTCCTCCACAGCACATTGGCTTGTTCTGGATGCTGTCGCATCAAGAGAAAGGGTTTTATCTACATGGGAAACTGAGCATTTAACACACACACACACACACATATTGTATAGACGCACTTACTGAGCGCAAGCATTTGCACAGTCAGAAAAAAAAAAAAAAACGTGTTCCTGCTCAATCAGGCACATGCATTCAGGGGTCCTAAGTCCCCCAGTTGTGGAGAGCCAGAGCTGCACTGCTGTCCATCAGCTGGCCACTATCTCCCTTCCCCCCACTTCCATGGTTCGTCCTTCCCTTTCCTCTGCCAATGTCATCCTTTATCGTGTGGGAGGAGAAGTAGCAGCCATTTTGGGCTCCCTAAAGGAGACAGGAGAAAATCTCACCTCGTCGTCACCAGCAGCTTCCACTGAATTTGTCTCCCTGCGCCTCCCCTCAAATGATATTTCTGTCTTGTGTTGAGTTTCTTAAATTTAACATTTAACAAGGACTTAATGCTGTCAGGGAGAAAAAATAAAGTAAAGCATTGAAAATCCCCAGTTATATCAAGTGGTGGGAAACGGACCAGGCCTCTGTTGCATCCTGGGCAGAGATCAAGACAGTCAAATTAACATCTGATATTTGTGCATTAGAGCCAACATTTAATTAAGATTAATTTAATTTCCTCGTGTCAGTCCTTGATACTCTTTAGGGGCTCTGATTGCAGAAATTTCTCAAAATTCATTTCAGGCTACAAGCACCAGGTTTGGTGGGGAAAAAAAGTGGAATCCTGTAATACAGCGCAACATATAACCACGTATACAACTGAGACTGAATTCACCCAGTGATCTCTCATGTGCCCTAAATCAGACTGGCATGTTTGATACCCACAAGGTGTCATCCACTGGTGAGATCCTGGTGAGGATGTTTGCTGCAAGGGATGAAGCTTAATGTGTGGCTTATTTTTTTTCTCTTTTTTTTTTTTTTTTTTTTTTTTTTTTTTTTTTGTCATGCCATGCTGTGAACTACAGGAATCCCACAGTGAGCGTTCCCCTGAGAAACCACAAGGGGTGTGTTGAATTTGGGTCAGCAGTGAAGAAAATGTCGGTGGGTGGGTGGGTTAAAGGGGCAAAAGGGGGGAAGTGGAGGAGTATGATATGGGTCTAAGAAGGAGCGTCCTGAGATCCACAAACCTCACAACACCATAAATCCTCTGTGTGGGTGTGGATTTATGTCTCCTCTTATGTGTGTGAGGCACTCTGTGCGATACAAGCTGCAGAATATTATGTTACTGTAACAATATTCGAAATGTGTAAGAGTTGATTGGCAAAGGTGTCATGTCAATCTGGTTCCCTGAGAGGACGGGACAGATGAAACTTTGTGTTTTTTTTCTCCACAGGGATTTTTACTGAGGTAGTTATTTTGATCAGGCATGTCAAGGGGCAGCTCTCCGCTCCTTACATGGCAACACAATGCTTAGAAGTGTGGTATGTTTTGCATGGTAGACCAACATGCAAAAGCGGCTGTAGTGTGTCACTAATGCAGGACTTCTCTTTGCTTTCTCTCCTTCTTCTTCTGACAACTCCACAGCAGTCCAGAGAAAACCAGGTGAGTCTCAAGAAAGACAGGTCACACTTTCAGTTCAACTTAAGCAGCAGTTCATTTCATATCACATTATGTAATCTGTAATTCATTCAGTTTTCAAACTTCAAGGAAAAATGTACCAGTAATATTGTTATAGTTGACATTTATTCAGTAAACAACCTGCAGAGCTACTTTATATTCACATACTGTGTTGCTCTCTTTATTAGTCATTTGTCTGTTTCAACAGAAAGCTTTCAAATGCACTTGGGAAAGCTTTGCTTTTAGTGTGATAGCCATGGTTTGCCATCATGCAAAGCATGCATAATGGCAATACAAGTGTAGTATTGGTGTGCTGTTGTTCCTCAAATTTTCTCTCTGTTCCTGTCTGTTTGATTTTTCTCTTCAAGGCCTCGCACACCTGAAGGCAGAGCAAGGTACTCTCTTCTTTTTCTTTGTAGATCTCTATTGTTTTTTTTTTTTTGTGTTCACTCGCCGCCTAGCTTGGTTTTGGGGCGTAATTTTGCGCTGTGTGCCTTCACTACCTGTCCATGTGCATTTGTGTGTTGCTGTGCTTTCATTGTTGCTGCAGAGAAGTGGGAGGGTTTGTGTGGGTCTATGTGTGTGTTGGTGGGGAAGGATGCATGGCGGCATGGCATGTTCCTCATCTCACCTTCATCTCTCTCTCTCTGTCTCTCTCTCTCTCTCTCTCTCTCTCTCTCTCTCCCCCTCTCTCTCTCTCTCTCTGCTTCTGTGTCTCCTCACCCTCGTTTCACCCAGGTTTCTGTGTATTACATAATTGTGGACTGTTTTCAGTTCCACAGCTAACATGCAGTGACACACTCCACTGTTCCTACTCGACCTCTGCAGTGATGGGGTAGCGGAGGCGTGAGGGAGGGAGGATGAAAAGCAGGGGAGCAGGAGGGTGGATAAGGAAATCACTGGAATTTGGGGAGACAGCTTAGAGGAAGAAGACAAGGATTGGTATGGGAGATAAAGAGGAGGAAAAATTGTCATGGTTAGATATAGTACAAGTGTTTGAGTTGCCTAACCTTAATTATACTTTAACCATATTTTATTTTCCATAACTACAATAAACCATACTGTTATTATCATGAGCAGATAATTTCAAAACAAATTATTTTATGTTCATTCTTGACCTTGGAAACAGCAGTAACGAAAATAAACTCACCTTAAGGTTCATTTAGAGCTAGTTTTCAATCGTAACACATGAGATTGGATGATTTTGTAGAACCAATGCTTTATATAGGGTTCAGAAGGAACTGTGTTAGGGTTCTGTCACACCAGCATTTAGAGCTGTGAAATTGGCAAGATCTTTGGATTTGCATGGAAACGTAAATTCTCGATATGCTTTCGCATATAGTTCAACTCCGTACTCACCAACCAGTTGCAAACCGTCTGGACAGCGCTGACCTTTTAAGGTGACGGAGATAACTGGAGAGTCCAAAATTGAGAAAGCGATTATATTAGCTGTGCTGTAAAGCTTTTCTTCATAGCCTTCTCTTTCGTCTCCCGAGTAACAAGGGAGGTCAACAGAGCGCTCTTCTTCATTACCATTTTGCCGCAAACACAACTGGCCACAATGGAAGGTCGCCTCTGCAAGTTACCAAGCTTCCAGTGCCACTTCTTTTCAGATGATGTACCGATAAATTTTGATCAATGCCTCTTTCTGTCTGACCTCAGTGTGGAGATGCAGTTCAGCAAAAGATAAAGAAAACAGAGAACGCTAAAATTGTGAAGTGTCAGTTGTCTGCTGCCCACACTCGCTTCTCTCATTTCCCCACCATTTGCATGATTGTCAACATTTTGCATGAAATTGTCAGTTGGCAGTGTACAGGCTTATGGTAGACTAACAATAGCTTATCCCCACTTTTTGCTGTCTTTCTCTGATGCTCTGCGCGGGATGACACTCTTCCCTCTTTTATCTCTGCGGATCCTTTCTCCTGTCCAAAACTGTAGGTAGAAACAAAGGTACAGAAATCCCTTTTTTCCTTACTGTACTCTTATCTGCACTGCAAGAGCTGTGTGTGTGTGTGTGTGTGTGTGGGTGTGTGTGTGTGTGTGGGAGGGGGGGTGTGTGCGTGTGTGTGCGTACGTGTGCATGCGTGTGTGTGGAATCTGTGCTTGGGCTGCCACTGGTTAATCATTCATTATGTCTGTTCATTAAAAGTGGGCATGTGCTCATCTGTGTGTTTGAGGGAAAAAGGGAAAAATCATGGAGCTCGATGCTCTCCAGCTAACGATTGCCCGTATTTACTGTTGCATGAAGGATGAGTGAGTGAGCAGAGAGATGAGTTGAAATGGAGAGAAATATGGTGTCAGTACTGGAGACTGGAGATTTTCACATGATTATCACTGTTAAATTTAAAATGATGTTAGTCGTAGTTTGAATTATTCAGTGTCTTTGCAAACAGTTGATATTAAACTTGGACAGCGCTGTGCGTGTACGTGCTAAATGAGTGATCATTGAACATGCTCGTGTTCTTTGTGAACGGTGAAGTGAATGTATCAATTTGCAATTAAGGCACCAGAGGGTGGGGGTAATGCACCAGAAAGCTGTTTGCCAACCACTAAAAAAAAAAAACATCAGGTGAAGAACCGTGTTTTACGGTGGCACCCGGTATGCGTCCGGCACGGCTAGTGTCTGCAAATCAAACACAGGAGTGTCTGACGCTGAATGGGGAAACGGTGGTGGCGTTGGCCCTTCTCATGGATCTCCCCAGTTATGGCGCGTTCATGTGGGCCCTCGGAGGGTTGCCTTAGCTGGCGCCTAACACCTGACATATAACCGCGGGACCAGGGCAATCCGACTGCTTAATTTAAACAATGCTGTCTGTGATTCTATAGTAGTATAGAGTAATTCATTGAGTTTGGGAAGAGGCAATGATAGAGTAGGAGGAGGTTCTACTGAAAAAGAAAAGTTCAGAGCAGCTTGTTTTTAAAAAAAAAAAAAAATGGATGAAATGAACATGAACTAGTTCTTTTTTTGGAATTGTGAACTAAGTCCGAAATTCAAAATTGTGAAGTATGAGCATGAACTGGTTGAGTTTAATTTGTGTGAACTGAACTTTGAGCTGTTGGGAGGTGTGAACTTGCACAACACTGACGCATGGACTGTCTGTGTGAAGATGAGGCGTGTGTGTGTCTCTAAGTGCTTAATTGGACGTGACAGTTTCTGTGTCTGTTGAAAAGGAGCTGATCGGTGAATTTCATCTGATATTTTGGCTTCGTTTGAATGAGGTCATAGCAGTGACCTCTGTTGCCGTTGTGCAGAGAATATCCTCATTATTCATTTATCAAAGCCACGTGATACACTCTGTAGTTGTGTGTGGTCATGCATGTTGTGTGTGTGTCTGTCTGTGTGTGTGTTTGTGTATGCTTGTGAATTATGATCCTGACTGATATCAGTTTAAGGCAAATTGTGTATTGTCTGACTTTTGACTGAAACCTGGTCACAAAAGAACCGACTACAATGGTATGTGTGAGTCATCTATGTTCACAGTTTTGAACAACTGAATGTGCCTGTCCCTCTTGGTTACTGTTGCTATGCCTGTCAGGCTTTTTGTTTACAATGTTAAGAGGGGGCAGCTTCATCACTCTAAATTGTCAGTCATTTTCGAAACAATGGTTCCATAATTGCAGACAGGTAGACAAAAGCAGGTTTCTCATTTTAAGCCTGCAGCTGTTTATTTTACTTGCAGCTGTCCCTGGCAGAATTATCAGCTCTAACTGGTTAATTAGTACACACAGTGAAGGTGCTACTCGTGGAAGAGTTTTTTTTTTCTATAACCCATAATCGCACAAACTAAGGTAGTGTGATGTGCCTCTTGGCTTTGGAAGTAACACTCGGTTACTACACTAGTTAGCCAGACATGCTAACATTTGCAGCTTATATTGGAGCAGAAAAACACACTTTTGAATCCATTTCTTACAATTATATTTTGGGTTTTTGTTGTAAATGCTAAAAAAAAAAAAAAAAAAAGGCTCAACCCTCCCAACTCTTTAGATGCAGAGTGTAGGTCTTACTGCAGCCTCATGCACCCTGTGTCTTGAAGTGCAGAAATCCAAAGCTTGACAGGCTTGTCATGCCTAGTTACAGTTGCTAAGCTATGATTGGACAGTTGCTGTTCTGGGGAAGGGCTTAGAGAACAGTCAGTTACTGTATGATCATCTATCGTGATTGATATGAAGTAATGGAAAGCTGTGTATTTTCTGTCTTTTGAACTGAAATGTGATCTCAATGAGATTACAATTACTGCTGTATCAGACCCTGCACTGTTTTCTCCCCGTGGATGGGGCCAACCAAAAACAGAATTCCCTTACACTTGTATCACTTCAGCATATCAGGTAGCAGTGGGCCGTTCAGTGTGTGGTGAGAGGTCCCACAGTGGTTTGGTTGTTAGTGTTGTTGCATAACACGACAAGAGGGACCCAGGTTTGATGCATGACTGTGGTCCTTAATATGTGGAGTCCGTGGGGGTTTCGTCTGGGTGTTCCAGTTTCCTCCAACATGCAAATCAGATGGACAGGGGACTTTAAATTACGCGTATGTCATTAAAAGTGTGACTGAGTGTCTCTCTCTACATTAACCCTGCAATGATCCCTGGCTAGGCTCCAGAGTTTTGTGTGGAAAGGAATAACTATCTTAATAATGAGAATAATGTTGTCAGAATTACAGCTACTTAATCAAAAATCACTTAATTACCATTAGAGATATAAAAGATCATTTTAAAGCACTCAGACAAGGCAGTTTTCATTTTACGCAACTTATTATACGACTTTTTATTGTGAAATACTGAGATCCTGATGTGTAAAATGAGGATATGCCTTACAGCGAGTCCCTGTGCTATTACATTCATGTCTCTGCAGTTGCGTATATGTACTGTAAATGGCACAGTGGTCAGAGGGCACGGTAAGTGGGAGGCTGGGGAGAAGAGACTAGAGAATAGACCCGAGGGGAGAAGCTAGAGAGAGCGGGGGGAAGGGGCTGAAGGCGAAAGAAGGAGAGAAAGATAGAACGGGAAAGGATGGAGTGCTGCAGATGAAGGGACCAGGGGAGCATGTCAGTGTTGTGAGGGCACATATTTCTAATGAAAAATATGGAGCACCTTGTCATCCCTGTACTCAAATCTGGGGCCGATGCCGCATGTACCCTGAGCCATCCATCCAGAAAGTTATAGTCCCTCGCAGTCAGAGAGGTCCCGATTGTTCTTGGCTCAGAGATGCAACTTTTTTTGATGCATAGCTGTGACGATGTAGCAAACTTTTTAGAAGCCATGGCAGTGGACCAGGGACTGTGCTCCAGTTAGCAACATTGCTCCAGTTAGTAACACGCGGCACTTCAACCTGCAGATATGTTTAGCTTATTGAACTGCACATATAATATCTCTATTTTCAGGTTGTAGTGGTTGAGCTGTCATGTTTTAAGCATATACAATTAAGAAAATGTAATTGAGATCACTCATGTTCGTCTCGTTGCGAATTGAATGATTTAATTAACTGAGCTGTCAATGTTCATGTGAGCCCAAATACCAATCAAAAACCTGACTTACAGCTGATCTAAATAAGTCATCTGGATAATGAGATCTGGCCATAAGGGCTTGCATTCACACCGTGAAAAAATGACTGCCAAGTGTGGTTAAAGTAATCGCCGAAAGATGGCCTCTGAGCAGCTTCATGTTCCTCTGACCACAGTTGCTCATATTATGAAAATGTTTCAGGTTCATGGGACCGTAGCCATAAACCGTAACCTCCCTCAAGGAGTTTGCAAGAGGAAAACTGACCCCAGATTGAACAGAAGGATAGTTTGAATGGCAGAAAAAGAACCAATGACAACTTCAAAACAGATACATGCTGACCTCCAAGATCCTGGAACTACAGTGTCTGGAAGCACTGTACATCGCTTTCTGAGCTCCATGGAAGAAGAGAAACACAACACATCTGATTGGAGTTTGCTTGCAATATATGTTTCAGTCATCATGTTTCCGGGAGAAGCATTGGACATATATATTAAGATAGAGCTATTCTGTAAGTCACATTAGTTCCATGTTCACAGAGGGAAAAATTAAGCTTTCCAAGAAAAGAACTCCATCCCCAGTGTGACACACGAAGGAGGTTCAGTTATGTTGTGGGGCTGCTTTGCAGCATCTGGAACAGGGGGGCTTGAATCTGTGCCTGGCAAAATGAAATCAGGCGATCATCAAAGCATTCTGAAGTTAAACATACACTGCCCAGTGTCAGAGAGCTCTGTCTCAGTTTCAGGTCATGGCTCGTCCAAGACGATAATGACCCAAAACATACATTTAAAAAGCAGCCAGGAATGGATGAGAAGAAAACATTGGACAGTTCTAAAGTGGCCTGCTGTGAGTCCTGGTCTTAATCCAGTTGAACATCTGTGGAAAGAGCTGAAACTCGCAGTTGGGAGAAGGCACCCATCAAAGCCGAAAGAAGTGGAGCAGTTTGCTGAGGAAGAGTTCAGCCAAACTACCAGCTGGGAAGTGTAGACGTCTCATTAAGAGCTACAAAAAGTGTTTGATTGCAGTGATTGCCTCAAAGGATGTGTTTTATTAGCTTAAGGGACCCAATATATTTGTTCTTGACATTTTCATTTGTTTAATTATTTAAAATCATATATTACACTGAAAATCAAAACCAGTGTGTCTGTTCTATTACGTATGGAATAGAGAATAGTGAATAGTGGATGCCAATTACTTCTGTCAGTTTCAACGGTTATTCTTCATAGGTGGAACGGCACCTATAATTTTGGCCATGTCTGTATTTGTACTTATTTTGATTATAGCAGTTTTTGATTTGACAGTTTACTGAGCTTCCTACCTGAAGTACACTTTTCTAAAAGTATCACAACCCACTTAGATCTGCTGCTTGGACCTGCTTGCAAAGCATTGATCAAAAGCACTTCCTTAGCATATTTTGTGCTAACATAGCACAAGCAAAAAAAGCAAAACATGCTC